GATTCTACCGTGGGGGGAATTGAGGCGCAGTCAAAAAGTTGCGGGAGAAACTTCCGGCAAAGCACGCTCGGATCCGGGATCTGAGCAACATGTTGACAGACGCCGCGAGCCGCCCAGAAGTTTTGGCCGACTGATCGAGAAAACGCAATGGCAAGTTACTTTCCTGGATGCGGTTCCTACAGCTACCCGGCCCCGTGGCGCAGAACTGCCTGTAGAAATCCGCCAGTTTACCATGAATGAGTTGCGTTTCGTCTTGAAAGGGGTTTAAGAATGGAAGAGCAACTGGCCCTGATGATGCGCCGCCGGACCTTTGGAACGTTGGATCTACACGCGCGTGTCAAGCGCTCTTGGACGTCTGCCAGCGGTGTTGGACCGAGAATGACATACCAGAAACATGGTACACGGTGAACGTCACCTAGCTCTTCAAGAAAGGTGACGCAACCCTGCCGAGCAATTATCGCCTGATTTCATTGCTCTCTGTGGGATGCGAAGCTCTTGCTGCGACGTTGCACCAGCGACTGCTTCAAGGAGGCGCAGAACATCGATTGCGACTGTCTCAATATGGGTTCCAGCCTCGCCGGGGCGCTGCCGATGCGCTCATGCTCGTGAGGTGCATGATCGGCGCAGCACTTGTGGATGATGGCGGTGGTGTTGTTCCCCGCGTGCTTCGCGGGGTTCTGGTTTTCTTCCGTCCCGCGTCGCACCCGCGTCTCCTCTTCACCCTTCCTCCTCCTTCTTCTCCTTCTCACACAGCACAACGCAGCAAAGCTCACCACAGCACGCAGCACATACACATACACATGCACATACACACATACACAAGACACAAGCACACACAGCACACAGCACACAGACAGCACAGCACAGCACAGCACAGCACAGCACAGCGCAGTACAGCACAGCACAGCACAGCACGACCCGCAGGGGGGGAAGATATTTTGCTGGCAATCTGAATTTCCTCGACACCATAGGGGGCGCGCTGGTCCCCGAGCGCGGCGTCTATGCGGGCCATGGCGCAGGGCATAGCAGGCGTGGCGCTTTCTCGACACCATCGGAGGTGCGCAAGGGGTGGTCCCCGAGCGCGGCGTCTATGCGGGCCATAGCGAATGGCAGGCGTGGCGCTTTCTCGATACCATAGGGGGTGAGCAGGGGGTGGTCCCCGAGCGCGGCGTCTATGCGGGCCATGGCGCAGAACATAACAGGCGTGGCGCTTTCTCGACACCATAAGGGGGTGCGCAGGGGGTGGTCCCCGAACGCGGCGTCTATGCGGGCCATGGCGCAGGGCATAGCAGGCGTGGCGCTTTCTTGACACCATAGGGCGTGCGCTCGGGGTGGTCCCCGAGCGCGGCGTACACGCGATCCATGGCGCAGGGAATAGCAGGCGTTGCGCTTTCTCGACACCGTAGGGGTTGCGCAGGGGGTGGTCCCCGAACGCGGCGTCTATGCTGGCCATGGCGCAAAACAAAACAAGCGTGGCGCTGTCTCGACACCAAAAAGGGGGTGCGCAGGGGGTGGTCCCCGAGCGCGGCGTATACGCGGGCCATTGCGCAAAACATAGCAGGCGTGGCATTTTCTCGACACCCTAAGGGGGTGCGCAGGGGGTGGTCCCCGAACGCGGCGCCTATGCGGGCCATGGCGCAGAACATAACAGGCGTGGCGCTTTCTCGACACCGTAGGGCCGCAGGGGGTGCGCTCGGGGTGGTCCCCGAACGCGGCGTCTATGCGAGCCATGGCGCATGGCATAGCAAGCGTGGCGCTTTCTCGACGCCGTCGGGGGTGCGCAAGGGGTGGTCCCCGAGCGCGGCATCTATGCGGGCCGTGGCGCAGGGAATAGCAGGCGTTGCGTTTTCTCGACACCATAGGGGGTGCGCAGGGGGTGGTCCCCGAACGCGGCGTCTATGCGGGCCATGGCGCAAAGCATAGCAAACGTGGTAGTCCCTCGCGCTGTCGCTATCCGTGCCGGTCGTCGAGGGCATAGCAGGAGTGGCATTTTCCCGACACCATAAGGGGGTGCGCAGGGGGTGGTCACTGAGCGCGGCCGCTATCCGTGCCGGTCGTCCAAGGCATAGCAGGCGTGGCGCTTTCCCGACACCGTACGGGGTGGACAGGGGGTGGTCCCTCAGCGCGGTCGCTATCCGTGCCGGTCGTCCAGGGCATAGCAGGAGTGGCACTTTCCCGACATCATAGGGGGTGCGCAGGGGGTGGTCCTTGAGCGCGGTCGCTATCCGTGCCGGTCGTCCAGGGCATAGCACGAGTGGCATTTCCCGACGCCATAGGGGGTGCGCAGGGGGTGGTCCTTGAGCGCGGTCGCTATCCGTGCGGGTCGTCCAGGACATAGCACGAGTGGCACTTTCCCGACACCATAGGGGGTGCGCAGGGGGTGGTCCTTGAGCGCGGTCGCTATCCGTGCCGGTTGTCCAGGGCGCTGCTGTCCGTGACGGTCGTCCAGGGCATAGCAGGCATGGCATATTATCGACACCGCAGGGGGTGCGCACGGGGTAGTCCTTGAGCGCGGCCTCTCTCCGTGACGGTGGTGCTCAGGGCACATCGGTTCGCAAGTTTGCTATCCGTGCCGGTCGTGCTCAGGGCACAGCGGGGCGCTGGCGGAGCAGGCGTGGCATATCGTCGTAACCTTAGGGGGTCCGCAGGTGGTGATTTCTGAGCGCGGCCGCTATCCAAGCCGGTCGCCCAGGGCGCAACAGGCTTCACTTCAGCTATCATCATAGGGGGTGCGCAGGGAATGGCCACCAACATCATTTTTACATGCTTCACTGCAGCTATCATCACTCCAGCCATAATCTAAGTATGTGGGGTTCCTCGGTAGCGCAATTTTGCTCGTGTAGGACTGGGCGAAGGCATTCGACCGATTGAAACCAGAATGTTTGCGCGCAGCTTTGACAAGATTCGGGTTGCCACGCCCTTTCGTACAAATGATCAGGGGAGTGTATTCACGCCGGTATTTTATTAGATTGGACCAGTGCGGTAAATCATCACATCGACGTCAATCAGCAGGCATTGCTAAGGGATGCCCGTCGTCACCGTATTTATTTGTTATTGTACAAACTGTGATGCTGAAGGACGCTCTCTCGGACCTTCCACGTCAACCAGAACCCGGCTATGTTGTATCCAGGGACATCTTTTGCGCCGACGACACGGCGCTGGTCTTTCACCGCGAAGCAAACGTGCAGCTGGACGCAGTTGTGGCGGAGGGGCGGAAGTACGGATTGGAATCGAATTGGGACAAGACGGTGCAAGTTCAAATCGATTTTGCGGGTTGTGTGAGGACACCGCAGAGGGGGAGCCAATCAATCTCGTGAAGGAAGCTATATATTTTGGGGGCTTCGTGGCCAACGATGGACGCGGTGGCAACGAACTATCGAGGCGCATCGGAGAAGCCAGAGGTGTGTTCCAGCAGCTGGCTAAATTGTGGGTTCATTCTGCAGTTGGTCGGCGGTGCAAAATACTGATGTACAACAGCTGTGTGCTCAGCAAATTGCTATATTCATTGGATTCGCTGTGGCTTCTCAAGCATGACAGAGACAGGCTTGACGCATTTCACTGCGTATGCTTGCGCAACATGTTACGGATACCGCATTCGTGCATTTCGCGGGTCAGTAATGTGGACGTTTCGGAGAAGGCAGAATCGCAACCGTTGTCATCAATCCTTTGTGGCCGGCAAACACAACTCTACCGGAAAAACGCATCTGAGACCGACGGGTCGCTCGTGATGCGCATTCTGTGCAACCGGGGCGGCACGCCCAAAAACTGGGCACTCCGCGCGCGGAGGGGTCGCCCCAGGCAGCAGTGGGTAACTTCCGTATATAGCGAGGCATTCTTGTTCCATTACGTGTGGTTGCAGCGTTTTTTGTGCCAGCGCCGACGTGTCTTTATTGGATGCACGGCCGCAGGCAGGCAGGCGTGAAGATGAGGATGCTGATGGTGGTGGAGATGAATGCTGGTGGTGGTTATGACGGTGATGGTGGGGACGAGGGTGGGGAGGATCATGTTGATGAGGGTGGTGGTGGTGATTATGACTAGGATGGTGATGACGAGGAGGAGGAGGACGAGGACGCAAACGATGACGATGATGATGATGACGATGGTGATGCTGGTGGTAATGATGATGGCGATGATGATGCTGATCATGATGCTTGTAATGCTGCTGCTGGTGATGACGATGATGAGGGTTGCGATGAGGATGCGGATGCTGATGATGATGAGGATGCGGGTGATGATGTTGACTGAGATGGTGATGGTAATGGTGGTGGTGGTGATAATAATGGTGATGGTGATGATGATGGGGATGGTGATGGGGTCGGTTGTAGCTGTGGTGATGAATAATAAATAAGGCTATGTTGATGGTGATGGTTGTGGTTGTGATAACGATCAATATGAGGATGATGAGGTGTCACAAGTGCCAGTGCTCACAGTCGCAAGGGGGAGGCGGAGGAGGAAGAGGAGGAGGAGGGGAAGAGGAGGAATGGGATCAGGAGGGAAAACAAGGGGGAGGAGGGCGATTAGGTTGTAGAGGCTGGTGAACTACGATGCGCAGTTTGTGATGACGTCTCTTGAATGCCCTGTTGCCCTAGCGGCGACGCCCTACAGCTGGTGCTTTATTCAAAACTTATTGTTGCGACTTCGCGTTGCCGCCTTGGTGCCGCATGGTGGTGCCAGGGGATGCGCTATGTCGGTTGCACCACGCGCAGTGCACTAATCACACATGGTCTACATACACAAAGTACACGTCGAGACAATAAACACCTACTGCTCGGGGCCCCCCGCTGGCAGTCATTTCGGTTTCCCTGGCGTTGTCGGTGCTCCGTCGACTACCCTATTCGGGTTCTGGCTCATCCTCCTTCTTTTTTCGCATCCTCCTCCTCCTCCTCCTCTTCTTCGTCCTCCACCTCCTCCTCCTTCTCCTCTTCCTCCTCCTCCTCCTCGTCTTCCTTCTCCTCCTCCTCCTCCTCCTCCTCCTCCCTTCCCCTCCCATCCCGAAAAAGGCGACGCCGCGGCCCAACCTGGGGTGCTCGCACGTGGCGGCGCGGCAGGACCGGCCAGCGGCGTCGTTTCGTCCTCGTCCTCGTCCTCGTCGTCGTCGTCGACGTCGTTGTTGTTGCAAAGCTTGCAGCGCTTGCCACGATGGACCCAGGGAGGGGAACAGGAACCGATTTTGATAAGATTTTGGAGGTTCGCGTCGTCGTCGTTGTCGTCCCTCCTTTACTTTCTCTCCGTCCATGATCCTCCTCTTCCTCTCCCTCCTCTGTCTCATCCACTTCTTCCTCTTCCCCGTCCCCCTTCCTCATTCTGATTCTTCTCATCCTACGGAGGAGTACGTCACTCCTTTCCGTCTTTCTTCTTAGATTCCTCGCCTTCCTCACCCGTGCCTTTTGCCTACTCAATCGCCTCTTATTCTTCTCCTCCTTCTTCTGCCGCCTCCTCCTCCTCCTCTTCCGCCTCCGCCTCCGCCTCCTGTCTGCTGCCTCCTCCTCCTCCTCCTCCTTCGTCTTCGCTTCCTGACCAGGTGATCGCTCGGGAGCGCGCGCCAGACGATGCCCGTGGAAGTTGCCATAACAGCTAAGGAGGCGTGTTAGGTAATGTCTTGCCCGTAACCTTTCCTCGAATACACCTGCTCTTCCACATCTACCGTATACAGTGTTAGCCAAAGATGCCCTCCTGGAGGCAATCCAGGATGTAGACTTCACACTCCAGCCCTAGGCGTTCGGTGACGGCGCCCCTCCGGAACACGAGTAACATGCTCTTCCACAGCATCCTTCTCCGCCTCGTCCTCACAGTTTGCTCTGGCCTTACGGCCGGTGCCGCCGATCCTGAAGACGACGCAGATGAAAACGAGAGGGAGGAGGAGCAGGAGGAGGAGGCAGAGGAGGTGCACGAGAAGGGGGATCAAGGGGGGAGGAGGAGGAGGAAGGGGCCGTCTTGGGGCTTCTTTGGGGCTTCTTTGTGGCCTCTTGGGGCCTCTTAGGCAGCTCCCCTCCCCAGAGGGGAGCCGACCCCTCTTGGAGCGGACGTGACGACCTCGTGGGAAGGGAATCCCCTGAAGGGCTGGTGGGCAGGGAATCCCCCGAAGGGAGCCGCCCGAGCCCCCCCCCCCCCGGGTATCCGGGTGGGACCCCCTCCCAGGGGGAAGGGATAAAAGGGAAGGGGCTCCCCTTCGAGTTAACACCAACGTTGCTCATATTAGCTTCCCCTCCGCGTCGCGGCCGCTCCCCTCGCCCGGGGGGGAGCCGACCACTCCCCCTCTTGGAGCCGACGTGGTGGTGTCGTGGGCAGCTCCCCTCCCCCGAGGGGAGCCGACCACCCCTCTTGGAGCCGACGTGACAATCTCGTGGGCAGTGTGGGCGACGACGACGACGACGACCCACGCAAGATGACGAGACCTGGATACGTCTTCCACAAGCCGACAGGGTCGGCGGATTTGATGCCGTGCCAGTTTTGGCTCGAGATCGTCGAAACCGAGTGCTCCTACTTTGTATTCAAGACGCTTCGCGTGGTCGGCGGATCCGATTTCTTCGCTATCTTCATTTGTTCCGCTGGCACGCCAACGACTATAGCTTGTGGTGGGCCAGGAGGGGTCTTAGCTGGGCCAGGAGGGGTCTTAGCAGGCTGCAGGCCTCCCCCCCCCGCATTGTAGGTGCCTGTCAGAAGGACTCAGAGAGCACCCTCGGGCCTGACCTCGCGGCGCCCAGAAGAGGAGGAGGAGGAGGAGGAGGAGGAGGAGGAGGAGGCAGAGGAGGAGGCAGAGGAGGAGGAGGAGGCAGAGGAGGAGGAGGAGGAGGAGGAGGAGGAGGAGGATTGTGGATGAAGGATGGAGAGAGGAGGAGGGGGAGGAGGAGGAGGAGGAGGAGGAGGAGAAGGAGGAGTAGGAGGAGGAGGAGGAGGAGGAGGAGGCGGAGGAGAAGGATGAGGAGGAGGAGGAGGAGGAGGAGGAGGAGGAGGAGGGCGGATGGAGGATGGAGAGAAGGAGGAGGAAGAGGAGGAGGAGGAGGAGGAGGAGGGGCCAGCATAGGGGAGGACGGAGGTCAACCGGGGCCGAACAGAGGGGGGGGCTCTCCTCGCCCCTCGTTCTCGTCCTCCTCGCCCCTCTCTCCTCTGGGGCTGAGGCGCGGCTGGCCGGGCTACATTTCACTTTCCTCCCCTCTTTCTTCCCCTCTGCCTTTTGTCCCCTCTTCCCTCCCCTCCCCTAGTTCCTCCCCCCTTTCCTCCCCTCTTTCCTCCCCCCTTTCCTCCCCTCTCTCCTCCCCTCTTCCCTCCCCATCTTTCCTCCCCTCTTTCCTCCCCTCTCTCCTTCCCTCTTTCCTCCCCTCTCTCCTCCCCTCTCTCCCCCTCTACTGGTGTTTCGCTGTGCATGACATCGCGCGCGGTGCTCCCAGCTTGTCCAGAGATGTTCCGCCTCTCTGATCGGTGCCAATCGTTCAGTGCTCGCGGGGGCCGAGGAGGAGTAGAAGGAGGAGGAGGAGGAGGAGGAGGAGGAGGAGGAGGTGCCAGCAGGGGGAGGAAGGAGGCCAACCGTGGCCGAACAGAGAGGGGGGGAGGAGCCCTCTCACCCCTCGTTCTCGTCCTCCTCGCCCCTCGTTCTCCTTCTCGTCCTCCTCGCCCCTCCCTTCCCCGGGGCCGAGGCGGAGGACCCGGCCGTCGCCATCTCGCCGCTGGCTGGCGCGAAGCGGCTCGGGTCGTCGCGGCGGCCGTCGCCCGCAGGTGGGGCACAGCGCCCAGGCTCCGCGTCCTGGCCTGCCTTCGCTCTCGTCGTCGTCGTCGTTGTCGTCGTCGTCGTCGTCCCTCCTCCTCCTCCTCCTCCTTCTCCTCCTCCTCCTCCTCCTCCTCCTCCTGTTCCCTCCATCCTCAGCCCTCTGCCCTCCACTTCCTCCTCCTCTACTTTCCTCTCGCAGGGGAGGTGCCCCAGGCCCCGCACTGGTCGAAACGAACACGATGCGAGCGGGAGGGGGGAAAAAAAACAACTCGTCTATTTTCCTCTCTTCCCCCCTCGTTCCCCCTCTCCACCTCTTTTCCTTATCAGTGACTCCTCCCTGTCGCGCCCCCAGACGTGTCGCTAGGGCGGTCCGGTCGTTCCTCCCGAGACTTGCCCTTCCATTAAAGATCCTGGAGCTCGACATCTACAAGAGCTTCAAGGATGGAGGGTGCTTGGTTTTCCAAATGCGGCTCTCGCTTCTGCGCCGCGCACCTTCGTTTTAAAGTGTGCAGCAACGTCAAAGCTGGAGGGCAGCCCGTTTTCAAAATGTGGCTCTCGCCTCAGCGCCGCGCACATTTGTTTCAAAGTGTGCAACAGCTTCAGGGATAGAGGGCAGCCCATTTTCAACATGTGGCTCTCGTTTGTGCGCCGCGCGCATTTGTCTAAAAGTTTGCAGCAATTTCAAGGATGGAGGGCGGCTAGTTTTCAAAATGCGGCTCTCGCTTTAGCGCTGCGCGCATTCGTCTGAACAGTTTGCAGCAGTTTTTAAGGGTGGAGGGCGGCTCCTTTTCACAAAGTGTGGCTCTTGCCTCAGCGCCGTGCGCAGTCGTCTTAAATGTTGACAGCAGTTTCAAGGGTTCGTTTGGTTGAAGTCCCAGGAATAGTCTGGCACGGGCTTAGATTGTCGGGACCTAACAGTCACAATGATTCGCCGCGTGTTGAAGTCCCAGGAGTGGCGTTCTCGCGCGACGTAGGATTGTCAGTACGCAGCAGTCACCGTGATTCGCGGCGTTGAATTCCCAGGGACGCTGGTGTGGCACGATTGACGATTAAAGTATCCTAGATGGTTGTCTTCCAATCGGGCACTTCAGCAATGAGCATACATTATTGATGTATGGACCCATGAAGAGGGAGCCTGATTTTCGACCTGAACCTGAGAAAGATACGTATTTGGAGTGAGCGGCATCGGTACCTTCCGGTCCCCCCACAGGCGAGATGCCGCCTGCCGCTGGCCGTTCGGGGCTGCACTGGCAGCAGCAGGGCGCAGCAGCGGCGGTGGCGGCGCAGTCGCAGTTTCGGCAGCGCTTGCCGGATGCGGGCTCGAGTCCAGCAGGGAGCGGCGTCCTGGCAGGAGCTGGTCGGCTGCAGCGGGGGAAGGAGCGGCAGCACCGGCCCTCCCAGCACGACCACAGCTCCGCGATCGAGGTCCGAGCGCGCCCGCCAAAGCTGGGCTTTTTTCGTCCTCGTCTTGTCATTCCTTCTCCTGCTCCTGCTCCTCCTGCTGCTGCTGCTGCTGCTGCTCCTCCTCCTCCTCCTCCTCTCTTTCTCTCGTCCTTCTTCTCCTCCTCCCTCTCTCATGTTCCTGCTCCTCCAGATCGCGGCCGTCCTCCGTATCTTTTCCTGCTCCAGTGTCGACTTCAGCGTCCCTTTCTTGAAGTTACGGCTTCTCACGCAGTGCCCGAATAGACACGAGCGAGCTGCCAAGCGGGGTGCGCGCGACACCAGCGCTCGTCGTCTACAGAACAGCTCAAGACGCAGCTCTCTGACGATTGGGTGTTTTGTTCAGGCGTGGCGATTTCCCTTCAATCCGGCAGAGGGGCCGTCGATCTGGGGCACAGGGCTATCGGGAGCCATGCGGGGCCGCGGATCGAGGAAGTCATGTCGGAGGACGTCTGGGCACAGGAGTCTCTCGTCGCCTTCGGCCTCAGGGGGGCCTCGCCGGGACCTGGGGCCGTCCAGAAACATGCCAGGGTGGAGAGCAGGCCTTGGAGAAGGGGCAGGGAATCTGGTGGCCCTGTGCTGCAAAGCTCGAGACGTTGGACGCCTTGGGGCTGGAGATGCCGTGCGAGACCGCACGTCACGTCAGGAGGGCGAGCTGAGACAACGGCGGCTCTCCCGCCCAGACCCCTCCCGGAGGCGGACCTGGCCGTGGCAACGAGGAGCCTCCACGAGGCCCGAGAAGGGCGGAAAGCGCCAGGGAGGGTCGCTGTTATATCGACTGGCCTTCCGTCCTCCGGGCTGTGAACAACAAGCGCCCGTCGCGATATTCTGGCTCCCGCATGACGTCCTTAACAACTGGTTCGTTACTATCACGGGGGGTGGACAAAACCCAGGGTGGTAGCCAGCTGATTGCCAGCAGGTGCGCCGCGTCCGGGTCCGCGGCTGGCATTCAGAGCAACGTGATCAGGAGGGAGGAGGAGGAGGAGGAGGATGCGGAGGAGGAGGAGACGGAGGAACGAAGAGGAGAAGGGGGGACGAGGGAGGAGGGAGCAGGGAGGGAGGGCTCTTCTAGTCGGCCGCTCCAACCCAGCGATCCGATGTCATCTGCTTACGGCGGGCTGGCATTCCTTTCCGACAGCGCCCCAGCAATGTCAGCTCCTGGCGGTCTGTGCTGCGCGGCGACGGAGAGCGATAATGAAAATAAGAAGCAAGCGCGCGACAGACGACGGCGAACGCGCAGGCGGTAGGTCATGATTGGCGGGACGAAGCAGGCGGGCAGGCGGGAAGGGACAGAGGGGAAAAGCAAACAGGGAGCGACGGAGAAGGCGAGGAGGAGGAGAAGGAGGAGGAGGAGGAGGAGGAGGTGGGACGGTAGACGAGGAGGAGGGAGGGAGACGGGAGACGAAGGAGACGGAGAGACGGGGGGAGGGAGGGAGGAAGGGAGGGAGGGAGGGAGCCGGAGCCTTCGCCGAACAAAACGGGATCGCGCCACAGGTGCTGGACTCGCAGGCCCCACCGCCGCGCCCACCTCCAGACGCGCAGACCCCGCTGGACGTGTCGGACTCGCCGCTGGCGCCGACGGCGCTGGACGTGTTGGACTCGCAGAGCCAGGACCAGAGCTTCGGAAGTCGGCACCAGCACCAAGATCCCGTGGCTCCAGCTGGTAAGGCTTCGGATTGCGCGCAGACTGCCCCCCGAGGAAGCCTCGTCTGGCCTCAACGGGCCTTCCGAGTAGTCCGGGCGGTCTCGACACCTTGGCGCCGCCTCCCGCGGCGCCCCTGGGGCGCTCCGCGCTCCAGGGTTGAGATGGTGAGACCGCCCCCGAACTATTCGGGGGGGGCCTGTTGATGCCAGCCGGGACTGCCAAGGCGGCCTGTCTGTGCGCAACCCGAAGCCTTATCTGTACCTCCTGGTGCGGGTGCTGGCTTCCTGCCCTGCCACAGGACGTGACAGTGGAGGACGTGCTGCTCCCGCGATCGGCAGCGGGCGCCGCAGAGAGCGCGCGCCCCAGTCGTCGCCGCCGCCGCCGCCGCCGCCGCAACCGCCGCCGCCGCCGCCGCCGCCGTCGTCGTCGTCGTCGTCGTCGTCGTCGTCGTCGTCGTCGTCGTCGTTGTCGTCGTCCTGATCGTCCTCTTCCGCCGAGGGCGCTCCGACCGATCCTGACCGTGCCCGTCCCAGGCCCAGGATCGGTGCACAGGCCTCTCTTGAGTGCTCTGCTCGTCGGCAGTCCACTTCGGGCGGCGTCGACCGACTTTACCTGGCCTCTGACCCATCTTGGCCAAGCCCAGGATCGGCCCGACCAGGGTCGGTGAGATGGTCAACAGACGTGCCCCGACAACTTTCCTCCTCATTCCCTGCAGGCCTCCTAGATGGGGTCAGCGTACATGAGGTCTGAGGACCCCGCCGCATCGCCGATGCATCGGCGATGCGGCGCGATGAGGAATGATAAATGATATGTACGTCTTGTTTAAGAGTGCCAGGAAATGAGATGCACCCATGGGGAATGAAGCGTACATCTTCGCCTAGACGAGGCGTGGCCGATGGAAGACACCCCTAGAACCTGTGGGACTTCCCCGAGCAGCCACGAGAACCTCTGAGAACCCCCTGGGCTGGTGGTGCACAACTGTCTTCGCCGGCCGTTGGGCGCCGGTGTTCTTGGGGTCTCAGCGGAGAGAGCGCCAGACTTTTGAACCTGGGTATTCCCCTGGGGTGGTTGCTGCACACTCGTCTTCGCCGTCAGTTGAACGCGGGTGTTCTTGGGGTCTCGGCGTGGAGAGCGCCAAGCTCTTGAACATGGGCATTTTCAGAGGGACGCAGCAGAAGAAGCGCGAGGCAGATGCCATCCAGCGGGCAGCGCGCTCCTCACCGCTGACGGCCGATGCCTGCGCCGCGCGCTCCCCTCGACCGCTTCTTCCTGAGGAGGAGGTTGGCCTTGGACCTCAGATCTCCTGCCTGTGCGCCCTCCTGCATGTCGGCGGCGAGCGAGGGGGGGGGGGAACTGAGAAGGAGAAGGCCTTCTCAGAAGGCGCCAGGACTTCTCAGACTCAGAAGCCCTCGCGCCTTCTGAGAGGTGTTGAAGGCTTAGAAACTTGTCAGAAGGCCAGGGGAATTTCCGAGCCTTCTGAGGAGGCCCGCCCCTTCTCACTTCAATCCTCGCTCGCCGCTGAGCATTGAGCTCCTTCCTGCCTCAGGAGCCGAGGTGCATCCGGGTACTCCCCGGCTCAGGGGGGTCGGGCCGGCCCCCCCCGTGCTTCGGGCGCCTTCTGGCGTCGCGGCCCTGCCTGCTTCTGTTGCCCGTCATCAGAATAGCGCCAACCCCGACCTTTCAATTTGCGTCAGGAGAGTGTCTTTACCCTCTGGGCCATAACGCGCGTTATACCCCCTACCGCCTACCCTCCCCCCCTCCCCGCCCCCGTAACGTAACGCTCCCCTCCTCAGTGCGTCCCCGGCACTGCCGCCGTACGTCCAGCACCACAGTCTGGGGGAAGGAGCGCTACTTTGCGCCGGGGAAGGAGCGCTACGTTACGCCCCCTCCCGTCCCCTCCCCTCCCTCAGCATAACGCCCATTATGTCTCGAATCAAAGCATCCTTCCAGGCGTCGCGGCTTTGCCTGCTTCTTTTGCCCATCGTCAGAACAACTTACACCCCCGACCTTCTGATTTGCACTGTGGGCTCGCCCCCGTCTCTGCTCGGGGTGCCACCGCTGCTCGGCCGTGCCTGTCGCGCCAGTGCGGCCTCACCGCTCCTGCATCTTGGTCGGGAATCCCTCGGCAAGTAAACACGCCCTCCTCACTCCCCATGCCCTCCCTCCCTAAAATACCCTCCCTCCCTCCCTCCTTCCTGCCGTGTCGACCAGGTCCTCCGAGCCTCTCTCCCCCCTCCCTCCCTCCCTCCGTCCTTCCCTTCCTCCCCTCCTTCTCCTCGAGATTTCTTTTTTTATTCGTTGAACCCGTAACGTCCGTTGCGGGGTGTCCCCCCCTTCCGCCCCGCCGTGGAGGTAACAAACGCACGGGGAGGGGGTCCCGGCCCCCCCACAGCTATCTCACGGGCATGGTGTGGTGGTGGTGGTGGTGGTGGTCGTCGTCGTCGCCCTTGTCCTCATCCTCGTCGTCGTCGTTTCCGAGGGCCTCGAAGGGCCTCCAGACGCCTCCAGCGGCTTGCGGAAACCTCCTGAGGCCTCTGGTAATTTGTGGAGGCCTTCAGAGGCGGCCGTCCTCGTCCTCGTCCTCGTCGTCGTCCTCGTCCTCGTCCTCGTCCTCGTTCTCGTCCTCGTCCTCGTCCTCGCCATCGTCCTCGTCCTCGTCCTCGTCCTCATCCTCGTCCTCGTCCTCGTCCTTGTCCTCGTGTTCGTTTTGGTCGTTGTGGACGTTGTGGTCGTCGTCGTCGTCGTAGTAGTCGTCGTCCTCCTCCTCCTCCTCGCCGTCGTCGTCGTCGTCGTCGTTGTCGTCGTCCTGTTTTCCGTTCTCAACAACGTCGTGGTGGTCGTCGTCGTGGTTGC